AAATCAACACCCTAATCTATTGCAACACAGGGAAAAATACCAGCTTTCTCTTGGGTTTTATTTGATTTGAACTTCTTTAGTTTATCTAGAACTTCCATCTCCATTTACAACAAGTCAGTGATTTTATTTGAGGTATTTTTGTTTGGCAAAGGCATGTTGCTCATGTCTTCCCTTGTGAATGCTTGGAGGGAACAGTCATTCAGAATATTTATTATGTTGTGCTTATCCTGAGTCTCAAGGCCGTTTGCATCATTTACCTTTTCATCTCTCTGACTACCTCTTGCATTGAGGTACTGCAAGAATACTTTTAGCTGTTAGGCCTAGCCTCAGTTGCAATTTATTTTCTTTTCCTCTCAGGTTTCTCTTTCTCCAGCTTTTTTAATGTATTTCTGCAGTTTCTCCTTTTAAGTCAATTCTGACACAATGGATCTTAAGTGAAACAAACCATCCCCCATCCATGCGCATCCCTTTACCTTCTAATTTTCTCTTCTCTTCCCTGAAGGCAGTAGTTATAGTTCGCTAAGGTCTCACCCTGTGCTGGCATCCCTCTGATACATCAGGCAAATAACAATTATTTTTTTCAGCACTTGGAGACTGACAAATTATTAACTACTTAGGGACCAAAGTCAATCCCAAATATAACCTTAAATCATATCCACAAATACTTTCATCTTCTAACACGGTTTGTTGATATAGGATCAGGAGTTAGGAACTGTTGATTTTTGACTTTCAATTCCCGAGGGTAATAGTAATATTCTTTCACCGTTTTAACCGAGGTCAGCCACAGAGTAAAAGCCATGGATCGAATCTAGGTTTTTTATTGTCAGGATGCATGTGTGTAGTATCAGATAGTTATTTTATCCACTGTGGCATTTGTAAGGGACTGAAGTAGTTTGTGACATTTTTTTCTAAAGCTGAACTGACAGTCTTTTCTTAAGAACATAAGACTTGGAATCAGGAGTAGGTCATTTGGTCCTGCAAGCCTGCTCCACCATTCAATATGATCATGGCTGATCGGTTGTGCTGTCAGTTCCACTTTCCTGTCAGCACCTTACAACCTTTGACTCCCCTACCTACTGTCAAAAAGCCATCTTTCACAGCTAAATGGCTGCTTTCACAAAACAGAGTTTAGAAAGTCTTCTAACAAATGTCCAGAAATAAATGAAGACTTACAATCTGGACATGATTAGTTGGATCTATATCATGCTCAGAAACAGTATCTATTGTATCAAACCAGTGAGGTTGACATATAATAGCAGGAGAAAGAGCAAAAGCAGCTCTTTCAGTCACATAAGAGCAGAATCTGCAAAATAACAGGTATTCTACATCATATAAATAATAATGAAAGAAATGAGCTTTAAATCATATTAACATGATGTCAGTTTATGACACATAACTGACATAACTGTATTAAATTCCTGCTTAAATTATTGAGCATGTCTGCCCTACAGAACAATTACAGAAATGGATTTCATCAAAGATTTATTGATTCTAATCATAAATTAGAGCAATCTATTTATTGCTAGTAACAGTGGGACTAGTCAGTGAAATACATCAATTTCCTTCTCAATATCTAAAAAATCACTTCTTCTACTATTGATTAGCATTCTCGCATTTTTCCCCCTGGCACTAGTGACTTGTCATTTATACACATGCTCAGGGGGATCAGTAGCTTGACTACTTCCTCAGACAAAACACCTGTACACCACAATTAATGTAAAATGTGGTCACTCTGATTCTACTGACATTCACCATTCAGTGTGAATGTGCAAAATAATCCAATCTGAATTTGTAAGTCCTGTGCAAACATTATCAGGTCAATGTTATTGCAGATTGTTTCAAGTTAGCTATTTCTTTTTTTTAAAAAAAGAAGAAACTAGAAAAACACCACTGTTTATAAAACAAAACTCATAAAAATGATGTTACCTTTTTAAACTTATGTGGCTTTTATACTAGATGGTTGCCAATTATTATTCAATAAATATAGAATACATAATATACAATTTAGTCATCTGGATTCCTGCTGGTTACATCTGAAGTAATTGGAAATCTGACAGGGTGTGGCATTGTGAACTCATTTGATGTTGTGTTGTGTGGGAAATGTTTTAGTTTGACACAGACCTCATGACAATGCAGCAGTAGGTTTTGTCCATTTTTCAAACACAATGTTGTTGATCAATCATGTTCAAACTGATGGCCAATTTCCTTCCAGATATAACGTAGCAGACGTGGTGAAACAATTTCATTTCTATTGCTTCTTTGTGTTTTTTAAACAATTAAATTCATAGGCCAAGAGGCCGTATTAGAGATTTTAGATGTGAAAGGCTGTGGAGTTAGTGTTGGGGGTTCGTGGGGAAATGTGGTATGAAGGTTGGGGGGGCTTCGGTGGCTGGTGAGTAAAATACAAGGAAACTGCAGCAACAATAAATCTCAGGGGGTAGATTGGGATGTGAAGTTCAGGATCAGGAGGGAATGAAAACATTTTAAACATGAGTGCCTTGATGGGAGATTATATGATCTAAAAAATAAAATAGATTTTCATTATATTTTTCTTTTCTTCTTATCTCTTATTTTGTTTACATTTATTCAAAATAATTCCTACATTTTCCTATTCCTTTTCTTGCTGTTTCTTAATATCCTGTTCTATTTATTATTCTTGTTTTGGTTTTACTCTCTCCTTGTCAACTTCTATAATTACAGTTAAATTCAGGACATTTCTAGCAATGTCGAATGTTGAATAGAGATTAGTAACAAAAAGGGATACTTATGAACTCCCCTTCTTCACTGGTCATGAGCGTAATGCACAATGGCTATTTTTATTACTTTTTTCATTCCTATCCCTTGACTGAGACCTTACCTGAGTGTGTTCTGGGTGACTCATAAGTCTAAGTGACAATATTCAATATCTCTTCTGTATGCCATAGCTGCAGACGGGAACTTACTTTATTGAAATTTTATTTGCACAAAATAATTTCACTTTTGCTAGTATTTGATTTTATACAACATCTTTGTTATTCAATGCTCTTGTTCATACTATTTCAATTTCAGAATATGGTTATACAACAGATAAAGGAAATTTGACATAAAACCAGATAATGACAGAAAACCACAAGCAGGTTAGGCTGTATCTGCATAGAGAGAAATGGAATTAATATTACAGGTCTTTGCCCTTCCACCAGAACTGGGAAAAGGCAGTTCTGTAATATAGAGATAGTAGGAACTGCCGATGCTGGAGAATCTGAGATAACAAGGTGTAGAGCTGGATGAACACAGCAGGCCAAGCAGCATCAGAGGAGCAGGATAGCTGACGTTTCGG